ATATATACATATATATATATATATATATATATATATATATATATATATATATATATATATATATATATATATATATTCACAAATAGTTGTGAATGTTTCCAGAATAGAGTTCTTGCAAATTACCTCTTCAGAGATAAAAAGCAAAAAACTTGTTTTAAATATTATTTTTACATGGTTCATATTATAAATGAATGATTTTATTAATAAAACTTGAAATGGCACATGGATTGAGTGTGTTGCATCTTATAAATATTCAGATGTCTGGCTTTAGCGTTAGGATTTTATTTTCTTTTAAAAAACTTTTTTTTTCCTTTGAAACTCGAAAAATGTTTAAAACTATAGAGATTGTTAATTAATGGATTAATGAGTGATGTTCCTGTAAACAAAATATATATATATATTAGGAAATAAAAAATGTAATTAAAAAGTAATTAATTGCTAATTACATCATTGAAAATTTATTTAGATTACATTTCTATTTAATATGTCTGAATAATGATGTATACACATAACTTAAATTAACTTATTGAACATTATTTGTATAAAACGCAATGGAGTCATACTTCATAAATACCATGTATTTCTGTCAGTAAATAATGTATTACTTATTGTTTCTTCCGCATGTGAAGTGGTTAAACAAATAAAACTTCCATAATTGATAGTAGAACAACAACAACAACAACAACAAACTCCTGAAAAAAATCTTCTCTGAATTGATTTACAGCACTCAAGGAAAGCACATCGTGAGTAACTTTATTAAATAACCAAAAAAACTATTTTTTTCACGAAATTGGATATGTAATTACAGTTACTAGTTACTTTGTAGTGTTTTGCGCTTGTCGTCAGAGAAAGAGAAAGGAAGTAACTTATAGGAGAGTGTGTTTTTTTATGTGTGACAAAATCTGTACAACCAAGAAAACAAATGTGACTCAACGTTTAGCTACAGTATTACAGTATGTATTAATAACAATAATAATACACGTAACTTACAGCTGTTAAACGGCTTTAACGACAGTATCACTACAGGTAACGTAGAAGTCTCGTGTTTATACGATATCGCTATCAGCTGACTGTACATGACTTTTATAAATGTATATCAAGTTATTCATTCAAACCTGACAGAAAAGACTGAACTGTAATAACAGCGTAACGACAACTTTAACTGAATATTCACGTAGGTATACTCACCAATAATTTATTTTTAGCTAAATTCATCTTGTAGAAGCTCCTCAGATAAACAATAACAGTAGGGAGGATGACCGTTTTGAGAAGTACACAACAACACATTAGTGTACTGGACTCTTGCCAAACATGAATAGCACTACTTCAAATTAAAAGTCTCGTGACACGTTAAAAGGCATGTAAGCAAAGCAGGGGATTTCTCAAAGCACCTGAAAATCAATAAAGAAAAAAAGGCTCAGTAAGTGAATTAAAAAGGAAAAAAATATATATAATATATTATATATATATATATATATATAACAACGTACTAATTTTAACTAGATATAGATAGATAGATAGATAGATAGATAGATAGATAGATAGATAGATAGATAGATAGATAGATAGATAGATTAGATTTTCAGACTTATCTTTAATGAAAGTTAAATTGAATAACTTTTGTTAATAACTAAATCTACCATGCATTAAACTGTATATTTGTATGTAATCTGATATGTACCCTCTCCTCCTTTTTAGTTAATATTTTTATTTATTTAAATGTTTTCTTTTCTCTTTTAATCCTTCTTGTTAACGAATGTGAAATGATTTTGTTGCACAATGAAAATAACAAAAAACTGTGCAAGTTTAAACTGACCCCCAGTCCGTTAGGTGGCGATAATGCTAGTCGCCATTAAAGATAAAGAAAAATAAATGTTTTTCGCGTGACTTTTATTTTGAAAAACAAGTGTATTGACCGTCGCTTATTTATTCTTGGCTCAACGGAGAGGTATTGATGTGTGCTTGATTACATTATAGCTCTCTTAAACAACCTAAACGAACTTCATATGTAATTTTACGTTGATTTTGTGTTTAGTAAGCTGTCTCAGGGTTTTCTTTACAACACAGGACAACAAGTGTGCGATTATAACTCGCAGACACTGAACACGTGCATAAAGCTTAATCTCCATATTGTCGCTCATGCTGAATTTGCACAGTTGTTAGAAATATATATGTATTGTACTTCTTATTAATTTGGTAACTTACTGCTTTTTAATATGTATCTGCTGTCCACAACTGAATTCTGAAGCATTTTCCCTCGTTTTCCTAACAGCCAAATATCGATTTTTAGGTAAAGTTGGGGTTATATTCGCACATTAGTTCATTTTTAACAGTCTCTACATAGTTCGCCATGTTACTTTAAATATTCGGTCTGAAATCTCATTTAAGTATGACTTCAAGTTCAAAACAACATTTGCACGATTTAACTTGGTGAACAATGTTGTATTTTGAGAGTCATTGGCTGATAATGTGATCTCCCTATTTAGAAATAGCAAATAATATTTTTCTGAAAATATATTATTAAGAAGAAAGTCTGAATGTGTGAATAAAAAAACAACTTTACCTCAATAATATTGACTACAAATCCCCAAAAATAACAAAACGGTTTAATTTAGCAGTTATGCTTAGATCCGTCATTTCAAAACGCATATTAATTACTGTTTTTTTAGGCCAAAGTTTGCAGGAATCATGAATTATCTTAAATGGTTTTTATTAATATATTCTTATGTTACCATTCAGCTGACAGACCATGGCTGATGATGCTGCAGTAGAGGATTATCCCACTGAAATCGAAGACAACCTGAATGATTTCGACTCTTCTTTGAGCTCTGTCCAGAATATGGTCCAGACACTGGTGTCTGTATCCAGAAGTGACCGTCTGCTTAAAGTATGTATAAAATGTTTATATGAAAAGCTGATAAATGAAAATGGCTTAACTATCATGTTTAACCTGTTTTTTACTTCATAAAGTTGGATCCTCTTGAACAAGCTAAACTGGATCTGATGTCGGCATACGCCCTCAACTCAATGTTCTGGAGTAAGGTTCTACACCCTCTTTTATTTGTCTTGTAAAATTGAGGTTAGCATGATATGACAAGTTTCACTTTTTCTTTCTAGTGTATCTTGTGACACAAGGAGTCAATCCGAAAGACCATCCAATCAAACAAGAACTGGTAAGAGAATACTGTCGGTTTACTTCAAACGTTTTTTTTCTGTGACAATGTCAGACTACAATCTCAAAGTCTATGGCGCATAACTCAAATGTAAAGTGGAACTCTATTTAAAAAAATTAGAGTTTTTAATTTTTAAATTAGTGGCTTAGTGGTTAACATTGTCGCCTCACAGCAAGTAAGTCGCTGGTTCGAGTCCCGGCTGGACCAGTTGGCATTTCTGTGTGGAGTTTGTATGTTCTCCCTGTGTTGGCGTGGGTTTTCTCTGGGTGCTCTGGTTTCTCCGAGTCCAAACACATGCAAACTTTTTACGTACAGATATAGTAAAGATCCAGGTTCCCTCTCATCAAATATTTATTACATCACAGATTTATACGTTTACATATTATACATGTATTTAAACATTTATTATTATATACGTTAGCTCCCTTATATCGCTTAACGGTTTAAAACCAAGAGCATACGCTATGATAAAGGTACATTTCGCACAAATGTAAACAGCCTTTCCTAAACCATGCTAACGTATGGACAGTCACCCACATTCGTAAATATAAACGCAATTTTTGTGGAAAAACGTATATCCTTTATTACGTTTAGAGTGTGGAGCGATAGATGTCGGTCCACGAGACAATAAACAGCCGCTGTAAATGGTAAATGTTGGCAAAGTTTTCAAAGAGGTAGTGAAAACTGTAGCGCATCTGACTCTATTGCTCCTGCCGGAAGTAAGGATACGCAACTATCGCCCAACCGGATGTGCGTGCTACCGTCCGTGAAAAAGGCCTATAGGTAAATCGAATAAACTAAATTGGTCGTAGTGTATGAGTGTGTTGGTGAATGTGTGAGTGTATGTGTGCTTCCCAGAACTGGGTTGCGGCTGGAACGGCATCCACTGCGTAAAACATATGGCGGAATAGTTGGTGGTTCATTCCGCTGTGGTGACCCCTGATGAATAAAGGAAGTAAGCCAAAGGAAAATGGATGGATGTAATGCATTAAGGCTACAATAAGCAAGATATTTTACTACAAATGTAAATTCTATGGTGGATTACTAAAATTTAAAATGGAACTCTACAAAAAATGTTTGAGAATTTATAAAATCTGTGAACAAAAGATCAAAAGTACAGGGCTTGATATGTAGACGTATTAAAACATTGCTGCTGCCTTAATTATCTTTAGTTAACCTTTTTAGTTATTTCAAACTACATCATTCATTCATGCATTCATTTTCTTGTCGGCTTGCTCCCTTTATTAATCCGGGGTCGCCACAGCGAAATGAACCGCCAACTTATCCAGCAAGTTTTTACGCAACGGATGCCCTTCTAGCAGCAACCCATCTCTGGGAAACATCCACACACACACTCATACACTACAGACAATTTAGCCTACCCAATTCACCTGCACTGCATGTCTTTGGAACTGCATGTCTTTGGACTGTGGGGGAAACCGGAGCACCCGGAGGAAACCCACGCGAACGCAGGGAGAACATGCAAACTCCACACAGAAACGCCAACTGAGCCAAGGCTCGAACCAGGGACCTTCTTGCAATGAGGCGACAGCACTACCTAACGCACCACTGCTTCGCCCCACTACTTATTCAGACTGACAAAAACATTAAGTTACACTTTAACTAAAGAAATTGTTGTTATGACTTTTTTGCCATATTTTTCTTGGTGTATAGTAGGGCTGCACGATGTTGGAAAAATCTGACGTTGCGATATTTTGTTTTGCTGCGATATGATTATACTTACAGTTGCAATCAGAGTTATTGAACCCCCTGAATTATTAGCTCCTCTATTCATTTTTTTTCCCCAATTTTTGTTTTACAGAGAGAAGTATTCAACACATTTCTAAATAATAGTTTTAATATCTCATTTCTAATAACTGATTCTGATACTGTCATGATGACAGTAAATAATATTTGATTAGATTTTTTTCAAGACCCTTCTATACAGCTTAAAGTGACATTTAAAGGCTTAGCTAGGTTAACTAGGCAGGTTAGGGTAATTAGGCAAGTTGTTGTATAACGATAGCTTGTTCTGTAGACTTTCGAAAAAAATATATAGTTTAAAGGGGCTAATAATTTAGACCTTAAAATGTTTTTAAAAAAATTTAAAACTGCTTTTATTCTAGCCGAAATAAAACAAATAAGATTTTCTCCAGAAGAAAAAAATATTATCAGACATACTGTGAAAATTTCCTTGCTCTGTTAAACATTATTTGGGAAATATTTAAAAAAGAAAGAAAAATCAAAGGGGGTTTAATAGCTCTGATTGCAGCTGTAGCTCTATTTGGAAAGATTTCATTAATTTAGATCAACTGGTATGTAGACCTTTTCTATCCAGTGCATCTGCAAACATTCTAATAAAATACAAGCAAAACTAAATAAATAAATAAACAGTCTTTTATGGTTTTCTAGGGAGCCTAACAGTATTCAAATACAGAAATGTAACAATCAAATGTAAAATATCATGGCCATCATTGTATAAATAAATAAATAAGAAATATAAAAATCCCTTTCCCCCAGCTTCACAGACAAGGTTTAAGGCTAGTCAAGATAAAATAGCATGTTTGAGCTGTTTTAACTTAAAATAACTTGCAGTGAGATCTCCTAAAATACATCAGTGTCATTTTTTTTTGTCTCCAGGTGCACACCAGTAATATATTTTTTATAAATGTGTTTAACTAAGGTCAAGTCATGGGGTCTGTTCTTAGTACGTGGATTACTCAGTTAGCTGGATTTTTATTATTGAAGATTTGACATGATCCAGGATTGTTTCGTTCTTCAAAACTGCTCCGAGAGTTGTTGTCATAGCAACAGTTCTGGTAGCTCAATCCTGGTCGGGAGCAGCTTCAATTCATATAAACAATATTAGATCGGGTCAGTTTAAGCAAAGTTAATACAGAAAGCATGTACCAAATACTGATATTTTCTTACAGTAGTAGTTATATACACTTGGGAAAATAGTAAATATTTTTTAACTATATATAAAGTTTAAGTTATTAATAAAATAAATAGTTATATGTATATATTAATACAATTTATGCAATCAGCACCCCTGAAATGAATGTACAAAGACTGCCACCTGCTGGTGCAAAGAGAAAACTTATTGATATGAACTTTTTAGATCGCTTTAGTACAATTTGAGTATGATTAAAGACATGCAGAATATGTAACTTTTTAAAAGCAATAATACATTTATGCAGTCATAAACATGTTTTGACAGTTAATAAGACGGTGATTTGATGCTCCACAAAAGTTGCAGACGCCTTTACCAATATCAAAATGCTTTTGTAAACATTCAGTTATTCTTTACACTGATTAAAAAAATGGCTACAATAATACTACTATAATAAGGAAAATCCGCCGAAAAACTGTAAAACTAAATAAATTGCTCTTGACACATGAAAGTGTAAAGCCTGCAGAGCACAACAAGGTGTAAAATTATTGCGTATCATATTTACTAAACCGTTTACTGTTAATTTGATGTAACTTTGCTTACATGGATAATTGAATATTAATCAGATGATGTCATTACGTTGCTGTGCCGTCAGCCAATCGTTGCATTGCTGATCATGATTTCGAGGATTGATAGATCTGTCCTTCCCAACACACGCAGCGATCTCAGATCAGTTTATCCAAACATTCTAATCGGATTCGCGAACTTGTTTGAAGAACCAAATTAGCCAGAGATCAGTTATCAAGATGAACAGATCCAGGATCTGCCAAATCATCTTAGATCATTTAAGCGGGGTACGAAGAACGGACGCCCGGTGTAATCTAAACCCTGTTTGTGAAACTGGGCCTTTGTCTTTTAATCTTTACTTAATAATCTAATCTGCGATGTGATTATCTCAGATACACACATTGCGATATCAATGCTCAAACGATATATCATTTAGACCTAGTGTAAAGACGTGCGATGAAAAAAGAAAGCAAATAATGCATTAAGGGGTAAAATAAGCTCAATTATCTCATAAGCAGAACTGTCAGCTGGCCAGAAACTACAAAACTGTAGATCATTATTCCTTTTCTACTTTGAAACATGCTATGTTTTTATATTTAAAGGGATAGCTAACCAACGATTTAATGACTAATTTAATTTATTAATCATGAATTAATTAATTATTGTCAACTGATTCCAAACCTTTGTGAGTTTGTTTCTTCTGTTGAACATGATAGATTATATTTTGAAGAAAACTGTAAAACTGTAACAATAAACTTCCATACAAAGTACTATGGGTTACAGGTTTCCAACATTTCCAAAATATCCTCCTTTGTGTTCAACAGAAGAAAGAAACTCAAACAGGTTTGAAATAGGTGAAGTGCGAGTAAATGCTAACAGAATTAAAAGTTTTGGGTGAACTATCCCTTTAATGAAGTCATAGCCTTTTAAAAATTTTTAATTACTAGTGCTGTCAAAATTAGTGCATTAACGCATGCGATTAATTTGAAATAATTAACACGTTAAAAAAATTAACGCAATTAACGCAGTTGCAGGCTTTATTTACTGCCTGTTGTGGCCGACGTGTGGTAAACATTCAAAGAAATATGGACAAGACCCAGCAAGGACTTTTTGAGGGCAAGTTTCAGTATAAAACAATTAACGTCGCATCACCAGGCTCTCCAGAGTTTCATGCGATTTCGGGTGTTTTTTATTTTTAACTTTCGACTTCTGTTTTAATGTAATTTGATACCACATAACGATGCCAAATGGCATTAACAAGCCTGTGTTTTTGTTTCTGTAATAAATATGGCTGTCAAGCCAGGATCTTGATGGTTTATTGTGGGTATGTTGTTTACATGAAGAAATCTGTGTTACACGTTAAACAAAAATTCTAATAATTAATTATATTTTGAATTTAAATAGTTTTTGTCTTGCGTTTACATAAATTTTACATTTGAATAGCCAAAATGAAAAGTTTCTGTCTTTTAAATGTGATTAATCATGAATAATTGCAATTATTAAAAAAAAAAAGTGTGATTAATTAGTTAATTTAAAAAAATTTTTTTTTAAAACTAATTACACCTTTACCACACCGGGACCTCAGTTTTTGTTTACCTAAGGCCTCGTAAAATAATAATTCATTAAAAAGAAATGCATTTTTAACTGTATAAATCTTAAACATATTAGTACTTAGTTAATGGAGCCGTATGATACAGTAGTGTTTGTTTTGACCAGTTAAGAAAGGAACTAACATCCTCCTTTATCTTCCAGGAAAGAATCAGGACATACATGAATAAAGTCAAAGAGATCACGGACAGAAGAAAAGCTGCACATATAGACAAAGAAGCAGCGTCGCGGTTTGTGAGGAATGCTCTGTGGGATGCAGATGACAAGAAAAGAAAGGACAAAACTGACCACCAACAAAAAGGAAAACACACAAAGTTTACTTGGAGTTGACTTAAAATATTTCACAGACTTTGGGATGAAGCACAAGCAATCTCTGAAGTGACACTCATAATTCCATAAGAGGCATGTTGTTGTTTTTTACCCTTTGTATGTTTATGGTGCAGAGTTATTCATATTATTTTCAAAATGTAATCATTTCAAACAAAAAAAAACCTTTACAAGTTTGAGATTTATATTTGGTTTAAATCTTTTTTTATTGTTTTATTTTTTCCAGTTGCATTGAAAGAGAATGTCTTTCATAGTCTTCAGATTATTTGACTTTTTTGGGGTTACTTAATGTGAAATGAAGATGATTCATAATGCCAGTCCCATTAAATCTTCTAAATCCTCTCTGTATCGTCAATTCATTTTTGTATGTATTGCTTTCTAAGGTCCTGTCTACATTATATATATTAACATACATATACGTACGATATGGCTATATATCGGCACTGGTGAGAGGTGTGCGTTGGCTTAGTGCCCCCACCAGTGCCAATATACAGCCATATCGCACTGCTACGAGTTTGATTTTGCATTTATACAACAGTTTGACGGCATAATTGTGTATTTAAAAACAAAATCAAACATAGAGAGTCTCAAAAACCCTTTTGTATGAGGAACTACTTTCTTCCGCGTTGGATTCAAATCATAAGCTGACAGTTAAACAGTTGAGCGTGCATCTTTGAAACTTTAGATCTGTAGTGTCGGCTTTTTGCTGGTTGTATGTGGGCGGAGTAATCCACCCAGGGGTAAAGAGGCTGTACGGGTGCTGATATTACTGAAATATATCACGGCTATCAGCCAATCAGATTCGATAATCAGACAGAACTGTCGTATAAATGAGCAATATCACTTAAGTAGCAGTGTGATATGGCTGTATATCGGCACTGGTGGGAGGCGTGCGTTGGCATGAGGCCGCAGGCCGAGTATCTTAAGTGCCACACCAGTGGCCATATACATATCACACTGCTACATGTGTAATATTGTGTTTGTACAACAGTTTGATGACATAATTGTGTATGTAAAAAATAAAAATTAAAAAATCAAACACAGCTGATGCCAGAACAGCAGAAACCATTGCTCGTTTACCAATGTCACATTAGAGCTAGTATTGTACGATTCTCTAGCGTAATGTCTAAGTGATAATAAACAAGCAATTTTGCTCACATTTTAAGATTATAAGGCTAAACGGCATGAAATGAGATTTTCCAATATTTCTCTGTTTCAATTTAGGAGATCACAATAATTATACCCAAAAAAGCCAAGAGCAAAGCAAACACTACCAGATTACTATGGTATAAATGCATCACTACAACATATAAAAGCTGTATAACAATTTGTTCAGCTGTAGAAAACACTGTTTTGCAATCCCTAGGACTTATATATATATATATATATATATATATATATATATATATATATACAACAGTTCTGTCTGGTTATCGAATCTGATTGGTGGATAGCCGTGGTATATTAAAGTAATATCAGCACCCGTACAGCCTCTTTACCCTGTGTGTATTACTCCGCCCACATACAACCAGTAAAAAGCCGACACTACAGATCTAAAGTTTAAAAGATGCTTGCTCAGCTGTTTAACTGTCAGCTTATGATTTGAATCCAACGCGGAAGAAAGTAGTTCCTCATACAAAAGGGTTTTTGAGACTCTCCATGTTTGATTTTGTTTTTATACACACAATTATGCCGCCAAACTGTTGTATAAACGCAATATCACACTCGTAGCAGTGCGATATGGCTGTATATCGGCACTGGTGGGGGCACTAAGCCAACACACACCTCTCACCAGTGCCGATATACAGCCATATCACACTGCTACTCGTGTGATATTGCTCATATATATATAAGCAAAATCACAAAATAACTTGCCGTAAGATCTCTTAAAATACATCAGTTTCGTTTTTTTGGGTACCAGCAAACCATCAACCATAAGGGGTCATAACAGAAACAATCTTTTGTATGTTCTTACTACACAAATAAATGAGACTTCACACTTTTAGTTTTGCAATCCTCAACGCAAAACACTGTTTACACACAGGCAAACCACCAGAGCCCCTACAGAGGGCAGTAAAACTCGCTTTCCAAAATCCATTATAGTCAGAGTTGGCGCTCATCTGTTTGTTCAGTGGATCCTCTGGGGTTTTGCTTTCAAGAACATACAGAGTCAAGTTTCAAGTGTTTGGAAAGTCTTTGAAAGGCAGTTCATAAGGGGAAGAAGTGTGGAAAACTGTAGGGTCCGAGGGACTAATTAAACGCATGGTGGTGGAGAGATTCATAATGGTTATTGTTGGCATTGCTTGAGGGTTTAATTAAGCAGCCTCGTGTCTAATGAAGTGATAGGGGACGTTGCATTTTTCTTACAATCCTTCAGGGAGAGCGCAAGACTGTACAATAAAAATCAGCTCAGTAAAAAGCGTCGTCAATACATGATGTGGGAATGGCTATTGGACAGTATGATGATGGAGAACGGACATTGTTTCACAAACAAGACTTCAGTCAATGGTTCGTTCACAGTTGGGCGCATGAAGGTGTAGACCAGGGGAGGCCAACCCTGTTCCTGGTTGTTGTTACCCTAGCAACTGTACATTCCCACCCACAGATCAATTACTATAGTTGTTGTGTCGCCACAGCAACTGTAGAATCACCTCAAACAAATCAATTACTGTAATTGTTGTGTTACCATAGCAACTGTAGAATCATCATAACAGATGAATTAATATAGTTGTTGTTACCTTAGCAACTATAGTATCACGACATATCAATTACTATAGTGGATATGTTACTATAGCAACAGAGGAATCACGACAACAGATTAATTGTAGATGTACTAAATGTAAAAGAAATGTACTGTATTCGGCGTCTTGTATTTTTGGTCAGTTTTATATCCATTGTAAATGCTTTG